GCTGTTGGACGTGGTCAATGCTTCACCTGTTCGGAGGCACAACAACGGATTCACTTTCATCTGTAGATTAACTTCTTCGTAGTAAATCATGGAAGTAAAGAGTTTATTTCATATTGCACTGTTCTTATTAATTTTAGTATGACATTATTTCTATCGTTAATAATATTACTGATGTTATTATTTCCACCATCTATATTATTACAATACTTTGTTTATCGTTGTAGTATTATTACTGATAACAATTATTTACTTTCTTGTTACTGGTGTTAACAGGTTACTGTATAATATTATATTGTTGGAGACAAAATTACTGCATTGTGGTCACATCGTTCTCATTGTGGCCATTGAGAAAATTGTCTATTATATACTGGATTTTGTGCTAATTATATTCCCAGTTAATATCATGCGAGGAACTATTTTGTATGTGTAATTATCACTAAGGTGGAGGCTAGTCCCGGGTGAACCAAAAGTTACACAAATAATTATAAATAATTTCCATTCATTTATTTTACGTTTAAGTTTAACTCAATTATGTCCATCTTATCAACCAGCCCAGTAAGTCACCCAGCGCTCAGGTCATCACCCAAGTTTCTACCTTGGTGGTCTGGTGGAAGATGGCGCCTGTTGTCATGGTGGTGTGGTTGTTGGTTGTGGTCGGGTGCTGTTCGACCACACTGGCCCAAACAGGTGAGTAAAGTCTGTTTTGTAGATTAATAATCTCTCTACCTGGTTGAACTGAAAAGCTAAAGACCGTGAGAAAGAAAGATGGAAAGACAACAAGAGATAGAGAGAGAGAGAGAGAGAGAGAGAGAGAGAAAGAGAGAGGAGAGATGTTACATGAAATATAAATAACGTGGTTGAGAGCAATATACAGGGCGAACAGGATGCAACAAATAATACACAGATGAAAATAAGATAAAGAAAGTGAAAGGGTATTCAAGAGTGTAATAATTATTGAAATAATGAATCAACCCGTTTCAGCGTTCTTGATGAAGGAGGACACTGTAGTATAACATATCTCAGGCCTTTGTTGTGTAGGATGAATGACTATGCATGCCAGTAGAGTCGGCAGGAAGCTTGACTGGTCATAGACGATCATCAACAATATTGAATAGTTTCATACCATATACCAATAATTTCCATTAAATTGTAGAAATAAAAAGAAAAGTAACATTTAAGATTAATCAGCGAATATATTGTTATCATGACATATACTCCCATATGTATGTATTGTATGTGTGTATGTATATATGTATGTATGTATTTCATCAGCCCAATAAAGCACGGGACTTCTACATATAATCAATACCTCACCCAGCCAGGTTCGATTCCACGATCTTATAATTGTGACCGGGAACGCTACCTCTGGGCCACCAGGACACTAAAGCAGTCCTAGACTCTGTTATATTTCACAAAACCTGTTCAACGAGCTTATGGTGCCGTGAACCTCAAATGATAGCGTTCCCCTGTCACAATTATAAGATCATGGGTTCGAATCCTGGCTGGGTGAGGTGTTGATTATATGTATGTATGTATGTACCCATATTTGCTTTTATTTAAAAACATTTTATTTTAAGTGCACACAAAGTTTTTCTCTTTCTCTAACCAAGTCGTGTTATGTGGCAGATGTTTCTCAGTGTGTGGACAAGTCATCGATGTGTACAAGGATGGCTGAGCGAGGCGACTGTAACACACAGGTCGGAGTATGATCAACAACTGTCCAGTGTCGTGTTTCTTCTGTCACAGTGGTCCTCCGCCCCTACCATAGCCAAGCCTAATTTTGGTGAGTGCTTATGTATGCCCTAAAAATTAATACATCAATTTCACACACACACACACACACACACACACACACAGCCCTAGCAAAGAAAGATTTCGTTGAGTGTTTAATTTTTTCGTGTGATGGAGGCTCCCGATCATTTGGCCGACAGACGTTTGGCCGACGGACATTTCACCGACGGACATTTGGCCAACAGACATTTGGCCAAACGGACAATAGACCGAACGGACAATTTGCAGAACGGACATTTGGGCGAATGGACATATGGCATTTTTATTTTTATTTTTTTCTTCTTTATAATGTATTTGTTTTATGTAGCACAGGATAACAAGATAACATAATTGTAATGTGATACATTTGCATAATAGAAAATTATTTTTGCACATTTACTAAGACAAAAGTTATTAATTGTAATGTAATTACTTTATAGTAATTGCTGTATAAAACGAAATGTTCATAAATATCCTGTGTTTTAAAAAGCAAATATATTGCAAAGAAAAAATAAAACCAAAAATAAAGGGCCATATGGCCTAACCTAACCTAAACTAACCTAACCTAACCTTGCCCAAATGTCCGTTCTGCTAATTGTCCGTTCGGCCAAATATCTGTTGGCTCAATGTCCGTTCGGTCTAATGTCCGTCGGTGAAAAGTCCGAAGGCCAAATATCCTTCGGCCATCTGCCCGACCACGGTGATGGACGGGTCTTCACCAGTCTGTGGTATGAGTGCACTCTACGCCCATGGTTAATTCCAATCTTTTCTACTCTCTATTAATTAGGAGCAAGAAATATTGGGTCATCCATTCTCATAAATTTTATCTCTTGCCCTTGAACAACCATAGACAGACACAATAAACTATTATCGGGTGTTCCTGGATCATCGTCACCTGTTGGTCCAACCAGCCACATTGCCTCCTGTATTTGCGGGCGTGTGCGTAATGTGCTGCCGTGATAGCAAGTACTGTCCCAAGAAAACAAAGCCTTGGACATAAAACACAACTCCAGGAAGTTTATCAATGAACAACCACAAAACCAAAATCAAAACAGGAACATGGAATGCTAGGACATTATATGAGGCTGGAATACATGCAAATGTTTGTAGGAAATGAAAAGATTGCAGTGGGACTTGGTAAAGATGCAGGTTTATTCACAACACATGATAGTGAGAATGAAGTTTAAAAATTTGATATGATATTTTTAAGAAAGTAAAAGACACCGTAGTATAATGAATGTCTGATTATAATGAGTGATGTTAACACAGAAGTTGGTGGAAGGAAAAGTTGCTGAAGTAGGAACATATTAATTGACTGTGTGTGTGTGTGTGTGTGTGTGTGTGTGTGTGTGTGTGGTTTTAGCGATTGAATTTCTGAGTAAATATATTTATTGACTGTTACAGAGTGTGGATTAGGGATCAATGCCACTGACCCTAGCAACATCAGGGAGGAACCTAGCAACGCCACTGAAAATCCTAGCAACACCACTGGCATCTACACCACTGTACACTGAGCATCCTAGCAACACCACTGAGCATCCTAGCAACACCACTGAGCATCCTAGCAACACCACTGAGCAGCCTAGCAACACCACTGAGCAGCCTAGCAACACCACTGAGCAGCCTAGCAACACCACTGAGCATCCTAGCAACACCACTGAGCATCCTAGCAACACCACTGAGCATCCTAGCAACACCACTGAGCAGCCTAGCAACACCACTGAGCAGCCTAGTATCAGCAGGGAGGAGGTCAGCAATACACAGGCAATCAAGTAATGTTACAATAATTCTTATATATAAAGATGACAATGATACATACTGGATATAGTGAGATGATGATGATGATGATGATGATGATGGTGATGATGATGATGATGGTGATGATGATGATGATGATGATGATGATGGTGATGATGATGATGATGATGATGATGATGATGAGTGATGATGATGATGATGGTGATGATGATGATGATGATGATGATGATGATGATGATGATGATGATGATGGTGATGATGATGATGATGATGATGATGATGATGATGGTGATGATGATGATGATGATGATGATGATGGTGATGATGATGGTGATGATGATGATGATGGTGATGATGATGGTGATGATGATGATGATGGTGATGATGATGTATGATTGTGTGTGTGTGTGTGTGTGTGTGTGTGTGTGTGTGTGTGGTGTGTGTGTGTGTGATGTGTGTGTGTGTGTGTGTGTGTGATGTGTGTGTGTGTGTGTGTGTGTGTGTGTGTGTGTGTGATGTGGTTGTGTGTATGTGGTGTGTGTGTGTGTGTGTGTGTGTGTGTGTGTGTGTGTGTGTGTGTTGTGTGTGTGTGTGTGTATGTGTGTGTGTGGTATGGATGTGTGTGTGGTGTGTGGTGTGGTTTTTTTTTTTTGTGTGTGTGTGGTATGGTATGTGTGTGTGTGTGTTGTTGTGGTGTGTGTGGTTGATGATGATGATGATGATGATGGTGATGATGAGTGATGATGATGGTGATGATGGTGATGATGATGATGATGATGGTATTATGATGATGATGTTGATGATGGTGATGATGATGATGATGATGATGATGATGGTGATGATGGTGATGATGATGATGATGATGATGATGATGATGATGATGATGATGATGATGATGGTGATGATGATGATGATGATGATGATGATGATGGTGATGATGATGATGATGATGGTGATGATGATGGTGATGATGATGATGATGATGGTGATGATGATGATGATGATGATGATGGTGATGATGATGATGATGATGATGATGATGATGATGGTGATGGTGATGATGATGATGATGATGATGATGATGGTGATGATGATGATGATATTGATGATGATGATGATGATGATTTGATGATGATGATGATGATGATGGTGATGGTGATGATGATGATGATGATGATGATGATGATGATGATGATGGTGATGATGGTGATGATGATGATGATGATATTATTGATGATGATGATGATGATGATGATGATGATGATGATGATGATGATGGTGATGATGATGATGATGATGATGATGATGGTGATGATGATGATGATGATGATGATGATGATGATGATGATGATGATGATGATGATGATGATGATGATGATGATGGTGATGATGATATTGATGATGATGATGATGATGGTGATGATGATGATGATGATGATGATGATGATGGTGATGATGATATTGATGGTGATGATGGTGATGATGATGATGATGATGGTGATGATGATGATGATGGTGATGATGATGATGATGATGATGATGGTGATGATGATGATGATGATGATGATGATGATGATGATGGTGATGATGATTGATGATGATGATGTTGTGATGATGATGATGATGATGATGGATTGATGATGATGGTGATGATGATTGATTGATGATGATGGTGATGATGGTGATGATGATGATGATGATGATGATATGGTGATGATGATGATGATGATGATATTGATGATGATGATATTATTGATGATTTATGGTATAAAATCAGCAATAACATACTGAAGAGTGAAGGAATGGATGGTAAAAAGTAACAAGTAAAGTAACTAGTAAAGTGACTGGTAAAGTAACTAGTAAAGTGACTGGTAAAGTAACTAGTAAAGTGACTGGTAAAGTAACTAGTGAAGTGACAGGTAAAGTAACTGTTAAAGTGACTAGTAAAGTAACTAGTAAAGTAACTAGTAAAGTGACAGGTAAAGTAACTTTATTAAAGTGACTAGTAAAGTGACAGGTAAAGTAACTAGTAAAGTAACTAGTAAAGTAACTAGTAAAGTAACTAGTAAAGTGACTAGTAAGTGACTAGTGGAATTATTAGTAAAGTGACAGGTAAAAGTAACTAGTAAAGTAACTGTAAAGTAACTAGTAAAGTAACTAGTAAAAGTGACTAGTAAAGTGACAGGTAAAGTAACTGTTAAAGGTGACTAGTAAAGTGACAGGTAGTAACTAGTAAAGTAACTAGTAAAGTAACTAGTAAAGTAACTAGTAAAGTAACTAGTAAAGTGACTAGTAAAGATGACTAGTAAAGTGATTGTTAAAGCGACTGATAAAGAATGGATGAACAGGTAGACGGAAAGATGACGGATGATTGGGCAGGTCGATAGATGGATAGACAGATGAGGTGGGTAAATGGAAGAGAAATAACTGTTTTCTTGTCTGTCATTCTGCCTGTCTATCTGTCTGCCTGTCTGCCTGTATAATAAGTCCTCCTTTACGGAAGACTTTAGTCGAGCAGTCGTTGGGTGTTCGTCTTCCCATCACTGAGTCCTGGGATAGTGAGCCGATCTGTAAAGTTATATCTGCAGACCATACAGCTCAGTCTCATAACCTACTCTTAGTTATGTTATGTCCTATAGTATTATTGCCATATGCTTAGGTATACTATGCTAAGGGCTGAATTAAAAATAGCGTCTTGGCGTCCGTCTGTTTCTTTGTCTCCTCCAAACAGCCATGCACATTACATTATGAGGTGTGTCTGGGCACCAGGATAACACACACACACACACACACACACACACACACACACACACACACACACACACCACACACACACACACACACACACACACACACACACATACACACACACACACACACACACACACACCACTACACACATACACACATACACACATACATACACACACACACACACACACACACACACACATACATACACACATACACACACACATACACACACACACACACACTTCAAGTATACTAAGATTTTCCTTTCAGAGGTCAACCACATTAGACCCGGAAGTGTTGCCAGGTAGTGTTTCTTCAATTATTTTCTGCGGTTCAATCATTTTATAGCGAAAACAATATTAATAATAATAGTAGTAATACTGTAGTAGTAATAGTAGAAATAATAGTAGTAATGGTTGAAATAATAATAGTAATAGTAATGAAAATATTAATAGTAATAATATTGATATTTATTAGTTATAATAACAGTAATAACATTAGTGATAATATATATATATATATATATATATATATATATATATATATATATATATATATATATATATATATATATATATATATATATATATATATATATAATATTATTATATTAATATTATTAGTAATAGTAACAGTGATAATATTGGTAATACTACTTGTACCTTAGCACTAACATAATGCTGCCACACTAGACGCATTTCACCGCCCTGTGTGCGAACAGACCCACACACACACACACGGTAATAATAGTAGTAATAATAGTAATATTATTAATAGTAATAATATTAGTAATAGTATTAGTAGTAGTAATAGTATTATGTATTCGGATATTTAATATTATGGTAATAAAATGGTGGCGAAGGTGTGGCTATTGATAACAATAGGTATAATAGTTGTTATAGAAGTAGTGATAGTATAACAATAATAATAGTAAGCGTAATGGCAGAAGTAATTTTAATAACAGTAGGAATTATAATAATAATAATAATAATAATAATAATAATAATAATAATAATAATAATAATAATAATAATAATAATAATAATAATAATAATAATAATAATAATTTTTTTTACGTGGCCTCCAGCCTCCCCCAATAGCCACACCTTCGCTGTGTTGAGTTAATTGAGCCGCAGATCTATGCAGCATTCAGTGACTGTTGCCTCATAGTCAATATCTGCAGCAGTTTTCGGCTTTGGGGCAGAAGCTCTCGTTCCCCTGAGGCAGAGCAAAGCAGACCTAAGGAGAAAGAAGGACAGTCGACATCTCAACCAGGCTGCAACATAACTTCTGGGCTGCTGCTTCTGTTCGGGTAGCACCTCTGCGAGTCTGGTGTAGAAGCATCTTGCACTTGGTCCCATCCCACCAGAGGTTGTGAACACCAGGGGAGTGAAGCTGCCTTGATCAACGTTCTGAATTCTCTCCCCATATGTCCTTATTTTGGCGTTCTCGTTCCTCCTGTGTGCAGCATCGAGAGCTAAGTTACGGTGACATGCGGCCATGATATAAAAAATCCTGATGTCAAGCACTGACGTCAACACGGGCTTCATTGGATGTGTTTCAAGTCCTATGCTGGAAATTCTCTCTGTCCAATGAAAGGAGGGTCAGTTCTACCCTGACATCACGACAGATTTCCTTCAACATATTTGCTGTGAGATCCCTTACTTCGTCATGCCTCATGCATACGAAGCCCCCTTTCTTGCACACCATGGCGTGATCGACGTCATAAGAGCCACAACGCATTGGGAGAGCAAACCTTCCACTGGCCTACCGTACCTCAGAGCATTGGCATCTGTAAATTATTTTTTATTAAGACTGAAACCATTTGCCCTTATCGGTAACGTAGTTAACCAGCTCGAGGCGCCCACCGCCTGCACTATAGCTACTTTTTTTTTAAATTCTCTGGTACTTGCAGCACCAGTTGCTGCAACTTATCACTTTGGCCATGCTTTCGTTCTGCCGTAATGGACCGTCGAATCTTGCTTACTTCACTGGTACCCACCTCCCCTGTTGCGTTCTGAGCTATTATGTGGTCCGTGAGGGCTGCCGTGAGCTTAACTGAGTTTTGATGTTCAGTGGCAGCAACCTCCTCTGGATTGGTCAATCCCATTCCTCCCAGTCTCGGTGATAGTGCAAGAAGTGATCTTTCTGCTGGGGTTAAGTGAAAATGTTTCACTAATTTGGGAATGAAATTGAGGCTGATAGCTTCTTCCAGAGGGTGGAGGAGGGGTCCGATTTCAGGGATAGTGCACATCAGGTAGTTCCATCTATGCTTGACTCCATGGGTGAATGCCGCAAAAACTTCATGTGGCTCTGTGTTAGCAATATCAGACAGAGCTTGGATTTTCCCTAACCCACTGATTCACCTTTCCCTTTACGTACTCGGTCTTGAAGTCCGTCGTGCCGATTACTACTACTACTACTACTACTAAAATTAATAATAACAGTATTAATAACTATAGCAATAACAATGACAACAAAGACGACAACGACAACAAAAACAATAATATTAAAAAAAATTTGGCCCGTGTGGACACTTAAAGTTAAACGTGACGTTCGAAGGTCAATAAATGGCATTTTGTAATCTGAATCGACAGTTGTAAGGCATGAACTTGCTAACCCAGCATTAAATGACAAAGGAGACCATATACTTTGAGTTCGAACATCCAAGTTGACTCTCAACTCAGTGAATGGTCGAACTTAAGGTATGCGTCTCCTTCCTTATTTGTTGATCTAAAGTAGTTGTTAGTTCATGTTTTACTTCTGTCAATTCAGATTAGAAAATGCCATTTATTGGCCTTCGTACGTCACCATTAACTGAAAAACTGTCCATTTTGGGCAGAAAATTTCTGTAATAATATTATTAATAATAATAATAATAATAATAATAATAATAATAATAATAATAATAATAATAATAATAATAATAATAATAATAATAATAATAATAATAATAATAATAATAATAATAATAATAATAATAATAATAATAATAATAATAATAATAATAATAATAATAATAATAATAATAACCCATGATTAAGTGTTATTGCTCTCTCTCTCTCTCTTTCTCTTTTTTAACAATAAAATTAATTTATCAGGAATCTTGTATAGTAATCCTCAATATCATTTTCTGATAATGCATATTTAACTATCATTTTGTTGTGATATTCACGTAAGTACAGTACTTGTTAAAAATTTTCAAGTACCAGAGATTTTCTTGAACCACAAGTGAGTATTTGTCCTTTATCTGTAGTAATATTTTCACTTTATACAGTATATCAATTATTTACTGGCAGCATAATTATGAACTCCAGGGTAGAGATATACGTTGTCTCTTCTTTATTCAGTGCTCTCCTCTGTAGAGGCGTGGGAACTGTTAAATTCATCTAACACTTACGTCTGCATACTAAGAGGTCAAACACATCACATTAGCTCTGCTGTGAGCGAGGGGCTCTCTCTCTTTAAGAAGTATGTAATAAGAGTTAGTGAATACTTGATCTCTCTCTCACAAGACTTTCTTTAACAGCTCTGAGCGTTGAGGACACCTTCTGTGGAGCGACACCCATCTCTGACCGCTACTTGTTGACGGCCGCTTTCTGTGTCTTCGATCCTGTCCACCCGTAAGTCCAAAGCTTACTTCCAAAAGGCTCGGTTTAAAAATATTCCTCACATCTAAAAATTAAGTCCAAAGTTTTATATTAGGTTCTAAAAATTAACTTTCAATCCGAAAATTTTATTACCCGGTCTAAATATTATCGATGATTTAAGTATTTCTTGTAAATCCAAAAATATTTTTGAAATTATGAAAAAACATGTAATTCTTTTTGAGTGCATAAATTTCCCACAATTTGAAGAAAAATCTTGTATTTAAGAAAGTATGATGATAAATGCCAAGAATCAACTCGCAATTTCTAAAACAGATCACAGACTCTAAATGTCCTTGTAAAGACACCTGATCCCAAGTCCTTCCCTGAAGTAGTCAGAACTTTCTGCGAGTCCGAAAGAACCCAATGTAAATATGCTAAACTTTCCCAAAGTCTAATAAAACTTCAGTAAGTCCAACAAAACTTTATGGAAGTCTAACTACACGTCGTGTAAGTCTGGCAGAATTTAATAAAAATCTGTAAGATTTTTCCCTTAGTCCAACAATTTTCAAAAAATCCAACAGATCTTCCAAGTCAAATATAGAATCTCGTAAGTCCAAAAGAATTATTCATATTTCTATTAGAACTTCCCAAATTCCCCAAAGAACTTCTCATAAGTGCAACAGGACTTCTCATAAGTGGAACAGGACTTCTCATAAGTGGAACAGGACTTCTCATAAGTGGAACAGGACTTCTCATTAAGTACATCACATAATACCAACATAACTTCTGTATCCAAATGCATTCATGTTCAGGATTTCCACAGTTTTGCTTAGGGTAGTTTAATATCTGTTTAGTCAAGAGGTGCGGAAATGCATTTAATTGGATTATTCACTGTACAAGACTTTGCTTAAAATGGTGTCAAAAGTGAACTAAGACTTTAAAATGACGAGAAACGTGAAATATACACACTCTCTCTCTCTCTCTCTCTCTTTCCTGGATAATTGGATTCTTCTCTCACTTTTACACGCACTCTCTCAATGAATCGCTAAAGTAAGGTAAGGAGAGGTGGTAGGTTCTCCTGCACATGGCATTTCTAGTCTCTGAAAAACAAACAAAAACATTGTAAGATTAAGAAATTGTATTTGCCTCTTTACTGCCTCTGAGACTCACTGTCACTCACACTCATACCCTAGCATACACTCTCACGCAGAATCACCACAGTCAATCAATCAACCAATCAATCAATCAATCATAATAATATCTGAGGGTTGGAGACCATAATCCTTCACTTTAAAACTTTTCGGGCTGTATTTTTCCAGTCCTCTGAGATTTTGTACCTCTCTAGAGACCCAGTTTTTTTATTTAATTCATCCATCTCACACACACACACACACACACACACACACACACACACACACACACACCACTCACTCACTCCACTCATTCTCACACTCTTTCTCTCACAGAATCAGCACAGTAAGGCTGGGAGAACTGGACTTCTCAAAAGACAATGAGACCAACGCTCGTCCGCGAGACTACCAAATTGAGCAGATTATTGTCCATCCTGACTACCAGTAAGTCCTATTATGTGTGTGTGTGTGTGTGTGTGTGTGTGTTTGTGTTTTTTATGTGTGTGCAGCCACACAGGGTGGTGAAATACGTCTAGTGTGGCAGCACTATGGCAGGATTAGGTGCAAGAACTGCTTGCTCCCTCTCGCTTTCAGCTGCCGCCGCTGGCTAGCCCTCGTGGGGAACAGGAAGCAACTTGCATAAGTCTTACCCTGCAAGTACACAGCCTCCTCACCACAAGACTCCTGTTGTGCCTCCTTGTGGCAACACACGTGCTGGGTGCCTCGTGGGCCCAGGCTAGATCAGCAGGAGATCTCGGGTAGCAGTGGGCACCAAAGGGACAGATAGGCCCATTGGCATGTGGACACGGCCTTGGTTCATACCAACCACCGCCAAGCAGCCTTGAGATTAACCTTGGCAGGTATAAGGCTACGAGGAGTAAACCCCAAACGAAAAATCTGCGGTGAGCCCGCATCAGGCAGACATGCTTACAGAGCTCCAACAAGACCCCAGCGGCGATGTATTTGAAAGGAGGTGACCACCATGAACCCAACGACTACACCGGTAAGGAAGGCAATGCCTGATGAACAGGCTACTAGGGCGAAACCCAACAAACTGGGCTATTGGCAGTCCATTGCAACTTCCCTCTTCCCAGTCATTTGACACTGCACCACTGGATCAGGAAAAA